CAAATGTAAAATCTTATGTTAATAGATTAGAAAAAGAAGTAGAAAATAACAATGAAATGTTAAATGAAGAAATTGATAGAGCTCTGAACAAGTCGGGTCGGGTCAGTGGTTCAACCCGTCCCAACTCAAACTTTTAAACAGTTGACCCGACCCGTCCCATCAGGTCAATGGATCACAGATTAAGAAAATTACAAATGTAGATATCTTAATTGATTTAAATATATACAGTACACACAATATGTTCACTATTACTGCCACTTTTAAGAAATCTGTCCAACATCATTGCTTGTTTATTTACATTAACATCAATTTTATTTTTATGATTCTTAAGATGATGACTTAAATTTGAAGTAGAGCCACTATTCATATTATATTTCCCATGTCTTTATTTAATATAATTAACACAATTAGTAATTTTTTTAAAAAAAAAATAAGTAATGCAATTTATTTTAATTACTTACAAGCAATATTTACATTTAGCCCATTTTATGCCTTTTTCATCCATTTGTTTATCAAAATGTGTCCATATTGAACTTTTATTCTTAGAAATACCAATGGTCTTGATAGAATTAATCCTGCCACCATCACCATCACCACCACCATCATCACCATTATCATGCTCATTATCATTATCATTATCAATATCACCATTATCATAATTACAACCACTATAATTGTCATTACCACAATCATCATAATTGTTATAATTGTTAATATTTCCTTCAGGTTCTAAAAGGTGCTTTCTCTGTCTAAAATAATTACTTTATTATTGTCATTGTAATTATTGTAATTGTCAATCTCGATTCTTCTTTTTGACATTATTAATTAATTTAATTAATTTATGCTTATGCTATGGTTTTTTTTTTTAATTGAAAATAATATATTAATGAATGAGATAATAATAACAATAATGAAATAGTGTTACCGGAATTAGATTTTGACGCAGATCTTTTGGTCGAATCTTTTAATTCCGGGACAATTTAAATTTTATTTATTTATTAATTCTATTTATTTATCAATAACGTGTATAATTATTTATTATCATCTGAATTCGCGTTACGTTTCGCGTATTTAATTATTATTATTATTATTATTATTAATCAATCCGTAGCACATTCATATTTATTTAACTTTATTTAGTAGAGATTAGTGACGATTCTTCAAAACGGGCGGATTCGCGCAATTCGGGCTAATATGTAAAGAACATGTATATAAAGAACTTGATTTCGACCTAATGTAAAAGCAACTTTCTTACAAGTTAATTAGTTTCGACTAAATAAATAAAATAGAAATATTTTATTTAAAACTTTTATCTTCTTTAACCAAAATTATTCGCTAATAACAAAATCAATTCGTTGATCCCCTATTCATTCTGATCCACACAAAACAAAAATAATTATTATCACCAATTAAAATACACTCTCCCGAATTTAATCGGTGACAATAGTAATAATAATAATGAAATAATAATAATAATGATAATGATAACGAAATAGCAATAATAATTAAATAATAAAAAAATAAGGTTTTCACTGATCACCAAATAATTTTTCCATAACCATAAATAACGTAATTTATTATTATTTTTATTTTACATAAACACTTGCATCAATTATTGATTTTTTTTATGTCAAAATTGTTATTTTGCCATTTATTTTTATTCATTTATTAGTATCTATACTAGTTTCAAAAATAATTTTGAACTTTTAAAGGCAATTATAACATGATGTTGTCCCGGGTCAACCCGACTCGTTTTGGAGCTCTACTAATTTTATTGAATTATCTAATTTAGATAGAATACATTGAAGTAATTAAAAGCAATAATTCAATGTAATTTTATTTTTGTTTTCTTTTTACATTATTATACCAATAATCACTAACTTTAGTAGATGACCATGAATTATTTATTTTAAATAGATTTTCAAATAATCTTTTTGCTACTTCCTTTGGTAAGTCTATAGGATGATTAAACACTTCTTGAAGAATTTCAAGTTCCTCATTTATTTTTTTGTGTCTCTTATATTTTAGTAAAGAAGTTTCAATCTCATCAATTGGTGCAACTGTTATGTCTGAAACCAGAGTGGGTGGATTGTCTCCAACTTCTATCTCTTTGTTTGATCTACCTTTGTTGATTTCTTTGATGAGTGTATTATGTTCTTTAACTTTCACAAAGCAACATCTTTACTTCGTTTACCAACAGTGGAATGT